TCTGTGCATTCACACCACCCGCCCTCCTTCCCCTCTGCTCTCGGCCCTTCATCTTGTTTCTTTGAAGGCTGTTGGGCGGCGGTCAGAAGGAACTGGCGGGATCTGCGTGCCCCTCCTTGGTCATGCGCAGTGGAGTCGGCGCGTGACCTGGGAGAGGCGCGAAAATCCCTTTTTGCTAGCTATCGGTACCGAGAAGGTTCAGCGCAGGCGCAGTGTATCCCAAGGGTGTGAATGCACAGATGACCACTCGAAGATCACCAGTTACAGGTAAGCAACCTGTCTTTCTAGTTTTAAGCTGATAATGGCTGTTTAATTCTATTTATAATACATTAATTTTTGCTTCCTGATAATCTTGTGATCTGTCTTGGTGGATCTTTGGAATGATGGAAATTTTAAAAATAGCAGGAAGAAGAAGAAGATATTGGATTTATACCCCGCCCTTCACTACCCAAAGGAGTCTCAGAGCGGCTTACAAACTCCTTTCCCTTCCCCTCCCCACAACAGACACCCTGTGAGGTAGGTGGGACTGAGAGAGCTCTGACAGAAACTGCTCTTTTTCAAGAACAGCTCTTATCAGAACTATGGCTTGCCCAAGGTCATCCAGCCAGGTGCGAGTGGAGGAGTGGGGAATCAAGCCCAGTTCTCCCAGATTAGAGTCCGCGCACTTAACCACTACACCAAACTGGCCCTTGTGATTTTCAGCCTTATTCAGCTTTTCACTAACTTGATTTTCAGTTATGTTAATTCATTTGGAAAGAGCTGACTTACAGGAGAGCTGGCTCAATGGTGATTAAAATGAGAAGCTCTCAAGGAGAGCTTACCTGGCACCCATCCTCTTCACATAAGGGTCTTTTGTATCCATGGGATCCTCAGCAGCTTCTTGTGCTGGGGACCTCACTTCGAAGGAATGCATGCTATGCTCCATAATGTATTCACACATTTGGGCCAACTTTAGCTTCTTAATGCCCAAGGAGTCGTTCAACTAAGACTTGGCACTGATCTCTTAATATATACCTATACAGTAAATTATTCCTAGTGGCATGTTTTTGATTCGCTTAATGGATTTTTGTTGTCCTGGTTCTCCATCTCTCCCCATAAAGCACTTTGGCAGAATTTAACATGAAAAGGCTTCCAAGCAGAGCTGGGAGGGTGACTCAATTTATTAGCACAAAGGTTGTGTTAATGTAGGTTTTTTTAAAAGTACTTTAAACCATAATGCTTTAAATCCTTTTAAAGCATTTTAAAGAAGCTCTTACCCCCAGTGCACTCTGATCTCGGGACAGGCATCTCATAATCCTGGAATATATGGACCTGGGAAAATCTGAAACTATGCTAGCAGTTTAGCACCATCATACAGAGGGGTAGTGCTTGAGTGCACATCATTGCAATGTGCCGTCCTATGTGGTATTTCTTCTCTTAACACTTGCCATATTATCCCTTAGGTATGCTACTCCTCATTAGTTATTAAGGAGAGAACCAAGATGTAAATGTGCACTGCCAGATGGGACTGGAGCTGCAAGAAAATCTCTGGCCTTTAAATTTGCAGAAATATTGAGCGAAAGATACAGGGTGTGTCTTACTTCTCTCCTTAGTAAGAAGTAAATGTTTTCTTCATTTGCTGTGACCTAGTCAATTACTGAAGGGCCCTGGCATGACTGGAAGGAATAATACCCAGCTCTAGTTCCCTTTGTTCTGTACAATGAAGAAAGAGTCAGAATTTCTGTGCTTCATTACTTCACAGTGATGGTAATTTCATTTCAGGAGCATGTAGCCCCAATACTACAGCAATTACACTGGTTACCGATCCACTTCCAAGCCCAATTCAAGGTGTTGGTTTTGACCTTTAAAGCTGTACATGATTTGGGACTTAGGGTTGCCAGGTCCCCCCTGGCCACTGGAGGGGGATGGGTGTGTAGGGTTGCCAGACCTAGCTGGGAAACTCTTGGTGATTTGGGGGGTGGAGCCTGGGGAGGACAGAGACCTCAGTGGGGTAAGTGCCATAGAGCTCATTCTCCAAAACATCAATTTTCTTCAGGGGAACTGATTTCTGTAGTCTGGAGAAGAGGTGTAATTCCAGGGGATCCCCAGGTCCCACCTGAACGCTGGCATCCCTAACCCATATGTTCCTGCCCAGGAATTAAGATTGCAGGGGAGGGCCCAACTATCTGTCCTATCAATCAAAGAAGCTCATTTGGTGGGTATTGAAGAGAGGGCCTTTTCAGTGGCAGCCTCCCAGGAAGGTGCACCTGACCCCCACACATCTTTAGGAGGCAATTGAAGACCGTTTTCTGTAGGGCCACATTTGGTTAATTTACTAGCAGTCCTCAACTGTGATCTTAAAGTTTGGGTTTTATGTATTTTATCTATATTGCAAGCTGTCTTGATGTCCATAAGGAGGAAAGGCATCTTATAAATGTTTTAAATAATTAAATAAATTCCAGGTTGCCATGCCTGTATTGCATTATATTCCAGAATGGCAAAGGTGGAGATTGACTCTCTTGGCTAGATAACAAATTGGTGGGCAGATAGAATCATAGAATGTTAGAGTGGCAGATAGAATCATAGAATGTTAGAGTTGGAGGGGATGTTGCAGGTCATCTAGTCCAACCCCCTGCACTCTGCAGGAGCATTGCCAAAAGATAGCCCTACAACATACCCAAAATATGGTCATCCAGCCTCCACTTGAAAACATCCAGCGAAGGAGCATCCACCACCTCCCAAGGCAGACTGTTCCACTACTCAACCACTCTTACAGTTAGGAAGTTTCTCCTGATATTTAGCCGTTAGATCTAGTCTTGCAATCCGGAGCAAGAGAGATCTACTCCATCTTCTACATGACAGCCCTTCAAATATTTGAGGACTGCAATCATGTCCCCTCTAAGCCTTCTCTTTCCCAAACTAAACATACCCAACTCTTTCAGCCTTTCCTCATAAGACCTGGATTCCAACCCTCTCACCATCCTGGTTGCCCTCTTCTGGACACACTCGAGCTTGTCAACATCCTTCCTAAAAAAGATGAACTTATTTCCGTAGCTTGAGAACAAACCTTTTTATTATTACGAACTTTATATTTTAATATATTATGATTACATAATACATTTAATGACTGGCAGAGAGATATTTAGGAAAACGCATTTGTGCTTTAGCTTTAACACATGGCTGGGGAGTTGGCAGGAGAGACTTGGCAAATGTGGAAATGCTTAACCCTACTGGCTGGCAGGGGAAAGGGTGAAGTAGCCCATCCCATCCACCAGTTTCCCCCTGCAGATGGCCCACCCCTGCAGCATTACTGTTTCGTGACACACACAGGCTTGGGAGCCCCATGTTTGCCTCACAATATATAGTTTCAGCTTTAACCAATATGGACTTTGGATTTTGCAATGTCCTCATCAATTTAGATTGACCTTCCAAATGAAGTAGGAGGCCACAGCACAATATTATAGCTTGTGGCATTAAAACTCACGAACTGTTTTTCCAGAGAAACTCACCTTTTGTTGCCATTGTCCACCGGTGGGAGAAGACTTTTTTGTTCTGTCTGACCTTCCCTCAGTAATCCCTCCTTCCTGTCCTATGTTTTAATTGTTGTGTTTATGTTTTTGAATGTGTATTTTAGCTTGGTTTAAATTGTTTAATTATGTGTTTTGGTTAGTTTTAATGGTTTTTAAGACATGTTGATATTATGCGTATTTTTAATATGTTCTCTGCCATGATGGCCCTGGTAAGAGCAGAAAGGCAGGGTTTAAATTTTGGAAAGAAATCATATTATGGACCTGCTACCGGGATTTGTTTTTCTATAATAAGGAGAAATGAGAACAAGAGATCGGTTGGATAATGTAGGTATGCAGGAGAAGTATTTATGTCATGTGTATTTCAGAAAAGGCCAGTATCTTTCTGTGCAAGTGCCTCTGATTACAAGAGAATGGTATTTTTCTTTCATCCCTTTAAAAGGGATCATTGCCTTCCTGAGAAAACGTGGCAGCCACATAACAAGGACACCTGAATGCTTCAGGCTTTAACAGATGTCCAGTGCTCTCTGGCTCCTCGCTTTTATAAGATTACATCAGTTTATACTCAACAATGCATCAAGAACTAAAATTGCATCCACTGAGGAAACAAAAAGTTCTGCCACAAAACCTTGTTTATTGAAGACTCCTTCCAAATAGATATTGGTAATGGAGAAAAAACATATGGTCTTCTGGATAAGGAATTGAAACTTGTGAGCAGGGAACAATAGAGTTGCTCTGGTAAGCCACATCTTCGGAGGACAGAAGGCTCACATAGCACAGGGGACTAGCAAAAGTGGTCTGATACAGAATGGAGCTCAGCTGAGGGGAAAGTTACTGGAAGTGTTGGGACAGCAGGAATACATGTTGCTGTAAGGAAGGTTTCAGTACCACTCAATCACTCGACCCCTTTAGGCTCTTTCATTTGGGCCCAATTTTAAACTGTGAATGGAGCAAATGCTCTTGATCCTTTAAAATGCAATGGTTGGGAGTTATAACTCTGATTTTGTGAAATGTTAAAAGCTAACTGGAGCATAAACCAATCCCTTCAATGGAGTGCTTCATTACATCAACAACACATGGATTTATGTGTGCCATCACCTTTGGGGGACACTCTGTGTGTGCTGTGGTTATCGGATATGGGAGGGTGCATTTTTGTTTTTCCATGATAGCCACCAACATTTCTTGAGCCAGCACCAGCAGCTTCCTTGTATAAAAATAATAAAACCTTATATAATCATATAAAACTGCCTTATTCTGCATAAGACCGTTCACCCATCTAGTAAATGGTTGTCCATTCCAGTCTCTTCTAAGATCTCTTCCAAGATCTCATACGAGACTTTCCGTAGCCTTGCTATCACGGAAGTGTACACCATAAATATGGTGGCTGTATGTACCAGCTCTAGGTGGCCAGAAATAAAAAAGCAACTTTCCACTGATCTCTCTTGCTCTCTCTCTCACTCACCCACTCACTTTCTGGTACTGTTTGCTTTCCAGGTGAGGATGACGACGATGATGAATGTGGGGAAGAGAAGCTGCCCTCCTGCTTCGATTATGTGATGCACTTTCTGACCGTCTTCTGGAAAGTCCTTTTTGCCTTTGTCCCCCCCACGGACTACTGGAACGGTTGGGCTTGTTTTGTTGTATCCATCTTAATGATCGGTCTCCTGACAGCGTTCATCGGGGACTTGGCATCCCATTTTGGCTGCACCATTGGCCTGAAGGATTCAGTAACTGCAGTGGTATTTGTTGCACTAGGAACTTCTGTGCCAGGTAAAAAAAATATATATACTAATAACATGGTCATAATAATTTAATTCCCTGCCAGTATTTTTCATGTCATCGTACTATACTTTGTGCTAAGGATCCGTGGAGGCCTGGCAACAATCCAGGATTCTCCATCTGGGCTGGAGGTTTACGCAGCTTGTAAGGTTTGGTTAACAAAACATTTCCTTTACAATCAATTGGACTTCTCCAGAGTAAGCAGGCTGCACACCTTGATCCATTTATTCACAAATAGCCTTACTTAAACCAGAAGGATTCATCTGGTTGTGGCTCAAAGACTGCATCTCGCACTTGGATACTATGACCTTGAAGACTACATTTCCTTTGCATTGCTATTTTTTATAGCAGTGATTAAGTATTTCTCCACCCTGTCAGAAAAGATACTGTTCTCACCATCCAGGGTCCTCAGGCTGCCCAATTTACAACCCCCCAGGACTCCATCCTTATGAAAGGTCTCACAGACATTCATACAAATAGATAGTTCAGATAAAACTTGGTCAGTTTTAATTAAGATCAGTTTTAATGCATTGCAGAGGGGAAAACTGAATGGAGTTTGCGTATTTTTGCACCAGTTTATATCTTGGCTTGCAATAAACGTGAGCTTCCATTTGCATTCTTAGAAGAATGTACAGGAAACAAGTTATCAAAGAACAATAGCAGTTATTAGAGTGGAACCTGGGGGTGCTATTTGCTGTAGATAAAAAGCTACAGAGGCCCCAGTCACACGGGCTGGAAAATGCGGGGGGGAAGCGTGGCTGTTTGCCCCGGAACAAAGTAACGCACAGCAGCCCGATCAGACGTCCCGTCGAAGTCCTGGGGTTAGGCCGTTAGGTGCCAATCACACGGCTAGTCTGCAGCGCGGCAAAGAAGTGGCATGGCGCGATCACACCGGCAATCATGCAGCGGCGCTTCCGTGGCAAACAGGAATTTTTTTTTGTTTCACCGAAGTTTGCGCATGTGCATGATCGTTTGTGCGCATCCTGTGGAGACTTTTTAAAAAATCCAGTTTGCAACGGGACATGGGCGGATGCCAGATGCCATCGGTTTCTAGCGGAAACGCGATCAGACGCCCTTGCCCCGCGTTTTCCAAAAACTAGTACATCGTATGTGGTAGTTTTTTACTCCGCATCTTCAGCGAGAAGCCACGGGTTAGCCATTGGTGCACTACGCTTCCCAGATGTTGCGGTGTGATCGCGCCTGGAAAATCCGGCATGCACTCGTTGCTCTCCCATGGCAAATCCTCCGTGTGAATGGGGCCATAATACCACAATATGATCTGGAATGTGTGGTATCAGGTATAGTCAGCAGATTTACTCTAGATTATGTTGGATGAGATTGTCTGTCACACTATATAGGCTTCACATTGCTCTTTAGTAGAAATCTCTCTTGTTTTGTCTGTTTGGCATAATCCACTAGGAAACTCTCCTATAATAAATGGGACATAAGAATATAAGAGACGCCAATGTTGGATCAGGCCAAAGGCCCATCCAGTCCAACACTCTGTGTCACACAGTGGCCAGAAATACCAGTGGCATCAGGAGGTCCACCAGTGGGGCCAGGACATTAGAAGCCCTCCCACGGTTGACCCCCCCTAGCACCAAGAAGACAGAGCATTATTTGCCCCAGAGCCCCTATCTATACCTTGTGGTTAATAGCCACTGATGGACCTCTGCTCCATATGCTTATCTAATTCCCTTTTGAAGCCGTCCATGCTTGTAGCCGTCACCACTTCCTGTGGCAGTGAATTTCATGTGTTAATCACTCTTTGGGTGAAGAAGTACTTCCTTTTATCCGTTCTAACCTGACCACTCAGCAATTTCATGGAGTGCCCACGAGTTCTTGTATTGTGAGAAAGGGAGAAAAGTACCTCTTTCTCTACCTGCTCTATCCCATGCATAATCTTATAAACCTCAATCATGTCTCCCCTCAGTCATCGTTTCTCCAAGCTAAAGAGCCCTAAGCGCTTTAACCTTTCCTCATAGGGAAAGTGTTCCAACCCTTTAATCATTTGAGTTGCCCTTTTCTGCACTTTTTCTAAAGCTATAATATCCTTTTTAAGGTGTGGTGACCAGAACTGCACACGGTATTACAAATGAGGTCGCACCATTGATTTATATAGGGGCGCTTTAACCTTTCCTCATAGGGAAAGTGTTCCAACCCTTTTATCATTCGAGTTGCCCTTTTCTGCACTTTTTCCAAAGCTATAATATCCTTTTTAAGGTGTGGTGCCCAGAACTGCACACAGTATTCCAAATGAGGTCTCACCATTGATTTATATAGGGGCATTATTATATTGGCTGATCTGTTTTCAATACCCTTCCTAATAATCCCCAGCATAGCATTGGCCTTCTTTATTGCAGTCACACACTGTCTCGACATTTTCAGTGAGTTATCCACTACAACTCCAAGATCTCTCTCTTGCTCAGTCTCTGCCAGTTCAGACCCCATCAATGTGTATTTATATTTAGGATTTTTGGCTCCAATGTGCATCACCTTGCACTTGGCCACATTGAACCCCATTTGCCATGTTGACGCCCACTCGCCCATCCTTGACAGATCCCCTTGGAGTGCCTCACAATCCTCACTGGTTTTCACCACCCTGAACAACTTTGTATCATCCGCAAATTTAGCCACTTCACTGCTTACTCCCATCTCCAAATCATTAATGAACAAGTTAAAAAGCAGTGGACCAAGTACTGATCCCTGCGGTACCCCACTGCTTACCACCCTCCACTGAGAAAATTGCCCATTTATACTCACTCTCTGTTTTCTATGAATTAGCCAGTTTTTGATCCATAAAAGGACTTGTCCTTCTATCCCATGATTTTTGAGCTTACTTAGGAGCCTTTGATGAGGAACTTTATCAAAAGCTTTCTGGAAGTCAAGGTAAATAATATCTATTGGATCCCCCTTGTCCACATGTTTGTTCACCCCCTCAAAGAACACTAACAGGTTAGTGAGACAAGATCTTCCCTTACAGAAACCGTGCTGAGTCTGCCTCAATAGGTTTTGTTCATCTATGTGCCTACTAATTCTTTCCTTAATAATGGTTTCCACCAATTTACCCGGTATCGACGTCAGACTGATTGGCCTGTAATTTCCCGGATCTCCTCTGGAACCCTTTTTAAAGATGGGAGTGACATTTGCTACCTTCCAATCCTCAGGAATGGAGGCAGATTTTAAGGAAAGATTACATATCTTTGTCAGGAGATCTACAAGTTCACATTTGAGTTCTTTCAGAACTCTCGGATGTATGCCATCTGGGCCTGGTGATTTATCAGTTTTTGAGTTGTCTATCAGTTTTAGGACCTCCTCTCTCGTCACCTCAATCTGACTCAGGTCTTTCAACACCCCTCCCGAAATCAGTGGTTCTGGAGTGGGCAAGCACTTCTCATCTTCCACAGTGAAGACAGAGGCAAACAATGCATTTAGCTTCTCAGCCATTTCCCTATCATCCTTCAGTACTCCTTTTACCCCTTGGTCATCCAAGGGCCCCACTGCCTCCCTGGCTGCTTCTAATGTATTTGAAGAAAGTTTTATTGTTGGTTTTTATGTTTTTTGCTATATGCTCCTCATATTCCCTTTTTGCCTGCCTGACCACAGACTTGCATTTTATTTGCCATAGCCTGTGTTCTGTTTTATCAGCCTCACTCTGACTAGCTTTTACGACTGCCAAGTGGGGGCGGGAGGCGGGGAAACCCCGCTTTGGAGGCCCGATTTCCGCCGCAGCCGAATCGGGCCCCGGGGGGAACTCCGCCCCCCAAAGCTGTGTCACCAGAGGTGACGCAGCCACATCGCTCATGTTGGGGGCGTGGCCCAGATCGTCGGGGGGGGGAACCATATGGCATATAGCGCGCGCATCCAGAGCCGGCTCCCGGACCCATCGGAGCCTCCCCCGCTGGTGAGTTTGCGGGACTTGGCAACCCTACTAGCTTTCCACTGCTTAAAGGAATCCTTTTTACCTTTTACAGCTTCCATTACTTTGTTTGTTAACCATGCAGGCTTTTTCCTATACCTGTTTGTGCCTTTCCTAACCTGCGGAATATTTTTTTTTTGAGCTTCTAGGATCGTAGTTTTAAATAGTTTCCAAGCTTCCCCAATGGTTTTGACCCTTTCTACTTTTCCTTTCAGTTTCCTCCCCACAGGTCCTCTCATATCAGAGAAGTTACCCCTTTTAAAGTTAAAAGTGGTTGTGTCAGTCTTTTTGGCCAGTTCCCTATTTATACAAATGTTGAACTCAACAACATTATGATCACTGTTCCCAAGTGGTGCAATCACTTTTACATCTCTCACTTACACTTATCTTTACATCTCTCACTTACACATATCTCAAGATGACTCTTATCCACCATCCATACGCTGCCATCTGTTACATTCAAGGGAATGACATGCAAAAGGCTGTGTTAACAGAAAATATACCATTCAAATCCTCCTCACTTTTCCAGTGTAAAAAGTCACTGGGCGTGGTGACTTAAGCTTAGTTCGAAGACCACTAGTGGTGCCTGATGCACTCCAAGCTGGTCATCAAGAATGGAAGCAATAGAGAAAAATAATGACGAGCCACACATTTCTTTGAAGTTTCCTGTGCATGCTGAAAAGGGCAAGCTACTATTTTTTTTAAATCTAAGCTGAAATGCTGTTTGCCTCTTTAGCAGTGGAAGCAACTGCAGTGGAGAAGCAACTGCAACCTGTTCTCATCCCAAGGGCAAAGCTCTCCCTCACGCATATGTACAGTTGTACTGCAGCCACAAATTCTGTAGCTAAGCTTTAATTCAGTAGCTGAGCTTTAATTTAATATCTGTCCATGTGCTGGCCATATAATTGAAATGTCTGTTTTGTAAAAAAAAGCAAGCCAGAATGGTGGTCCTCAGTATTGCAGAGCTATTTAAGTGCAGCATACAAAGTTTTTTTCCTGAACAAGCCTCACTGAAATGAAAGTGGTCCGCTCCGATGTTCCTGGTGGGTTGCATGCCCCCTTCTTGTTTTTA